CTTCACAGTAAACTCCATGTATAGATGGTTCCTTCACAGTAAACTCCATGTATAGATATCTTATCAACACAGGAATAAAGGTTTCCCAAAAAGTTTGGCGGTTAAAGATGCCACTTAAAATTAAAATTTTTGTGGCTCCTACAAAGAGGTGTTATTCTAACTAAAGATAACTTAGTTAGACGAAATTGGAACGGGAGCAAAATGTGTGCTTTCTGCTCTAAGGATGAAACAATTGAACACCTCTTCTTTGATTGTTTATATTCTAAATTTCTCTGGAGAACGGTTCATTTTGTACTAGGTTTGAAACCTCCAAAAGATGCCCATGATCTTTTTTACAGGTGGTACAAACAAGGGGTAGTTTTAAATCAATCATTGTTGTTGATAGGGTGTGCAACCATTTGTTGGACAGCATGCCTTACAAGGAATGGAGTTGTTTTTGACAAGTGTTGACCTAAAACTTTTTTATAGGTTACACTCAGAGGAACGTACTGGCTGCACCAATGGGCACAATTACAGCGGATTGAAGCCAATAAAGAATGCAGCCAATAAAACATGCATTCTCCAAGTCTGACAAGTGCTAGAGGCGGCGACAATGATTTTTTTTTGGCTTCCTTTGGATGGCCTCATAATGTTAGAATTGAGTTTTGAGTGGGACTTTTGTGTAGTTAAACTTTTGTGTAATAAGTGATCTGATTCTCTTGTTGACAAGACATGAAGCCGGATATATTTCAATTATCTAAAAAAACAAGTCTTACAAGTTTACCGATACAGACTCCAAAGCAAAACAATTCTAAACACACCAATATGGCCTAAACAAGGAGGCAGATCCTCACCAAAAGCATAGACATCCTGTCTCACTACTGCAAAACCGAATTTTACATACGACTAAAATGGTATTCTAGAGATGTTTACTTGGCCTGCCTTCGACCAAAAGCATGTGAAGGAAATAGGTGATTTCCATAGGCGACGAGGCAATAGCCTCTACAGCTAACCACCCCTAAAAAGTTTAATTGCGGATGCGATCAAGTAAGTCGACCATTTTTGAAAATGTATTTTTAGAGGACATCACTTATGCTGACTATATGTAGAAATTGGTAAAACTAAAAATAGTAAAGAAATCATTTTTCTGCTTAAATCACAGGTCACACATTTTTCGCGTATGTGCAACTTCCTGGATTTGAACCATGACCTCCCCTAGCATGACTCTTCCTTTTACCATCCCATCTTGTTAACAACAATCTTTCCTTTTTGAACCTTGTTGGAATTGATTTTCAAATGTGGCTGACTAAGAAACTGCCTCTAAAAATGTATTTTAGAGGCAGTTCCTTGTGTGAGCCACATATGAAAATCATTGAAAGTTTTGTCTTTATGAATATCAAATTAAGGAGAGAATTCCTTATTTGATACTGGGAAAATGAGTCGTTCCTTTTTTGGCCCTGAAATTTTCTTCGTTCCCTATTTGACACTCACTTCAACTTTCATCCCTAATTTGACACTACCGTCAAATCCGTTAGCTAACGGTGTTAACTGGCTGTTAAAAAGACGTTTTTGCCCCTAGAAAAAAAAGCGGCGAAGCAAATTTGAGAGGAAAAAAAACTGCGCCCGCCTCTGATGCATGCGCCCAAATGCAAAAAAAGGCGCAGGTTTTTTTTCCTCTCAAATTTGCTTCGCCGCTTTTTTTTCTAGGGGCAAAACGCGTCTTTTTAATGTACCATTAACACTGTTATATATAAATGATTTGACGGTAGTGTCAAATTAGGGATGAAAGTTGAAGTGAGTGTCAAATAGGGAACGAAGAAAATTTCAGGGCCAAGAAAGGAACGACTCATTTTCCCAGTGTCAAATAAGGAATTCTCTCCAAATTAAGTTAACTTTTACAAAAACTTGAGAAGGTTTCATGTCCAACCTCATATCCAGAAATTCACATAATAATTGCTGACATTTTATATGTGTTTCTAATGTACACCTTTGTGTGAAGCAAATGGTGTATATTCCAAACATGTATAACAAAAGTATTTGTCAAATTTTTATAAATTTTATAACAGTGGACATGCCCATAATATATATGCCTCCATAAAATTTCATTGCACAACTCAACTTAACTAAAAAGATTTAAAAAAGATGAATATTTTTAGAAACACCTCACGTAAAAAATTAATTCTAAAAATACTATTTCTAGAGGTAGTTTCTTACAGAGGTTACAATGGCGGTTCCTAGAGCAACTCCAGGAGCGAAGGGCCTCTAGCCTAGTAGTTCCTAGAGCATCCAGCAGGCCTGGGTTCGACTCCCCGTGAAAGCGAATTATACAGATCTAGAATAATAAAAAAATATAAAAAATAGGTTGGGGTTTCCCCTACTGAATTCGGTCAAAAAGAGCAACTCTAGGAGTTTCCTAAATGAACTCCCTATTTAGATTTTTTGGTAAAATGAGAAAAAAAAATCTTCTAACAATTTGGTAAAATTACTCCTTAAAAGTAAAAACTTGGTAAATCATCCCTCCAACTCGTAAGTTTCCGCAATCGATAGGAACTCCATATCCGCTCTCAGTTCGGTGTTTTTCTCGAAAGACTGGAGGAAATTGGACACATCAGTAAACTAAGAAAATAACAGGTTTAAAGTGAGAAAATAGTAAGAGACAAAGAAATCATTAAAAAGGCTTGGTCGGTTAGAAATAGTTCGGAGTTACAAATGCAAAATCGTTTAGGAAAGCTAGTATAGAAAACTATTGGAGAGGGAAATAAATTGAAGTTGCTATTTATTTTGTTAACTTGCTAAGCTAGTTGATTCAGCAAATTAATTATAGGAAACACCCGAAGTTGCTCTTACAAAAGTGTCTCTAGATTACCGCAGAGAGAGTCGTCGTTTTGCAGATGGCATATATATACAGTATACACAGCAAAAGAGAGCATTTTCCAACTAACTGACACACAGGGTGATTTCTTAGGACTATAACACGAAGCTGCGCAAGTAATCCAGAGAATTTGTAATGTGGTAGTAATTAACGAAGATTAGCGAAAGTGCTCTCCGAGCCAAGGAAAAAAAATAAAGAAAACGAGGTGGAAGTATTTGCTGATTTTCATCAGAAGAAAAAAAAAAAGGCGAGATCGTCTCAATTTCGTTCGGCCGGCCGGCCGGCGTGGCCGGTCGCATCTCCATCACTCCACATCTCCATGACAGCATCAATGACCTCACTCGCAGCCCCAAGCTCTCGCCTGATGTTGACCAGGCCTCCTTCTCGAGTGATCATCGGGAGGAGCAAACGCCGGGAAACAACAAGCCAAGCAGTTCACCAAATTGGTCCTCTCCTCTCTCGCTATTTTCGCCCATCAGTAATCACCCGAAAACGCCCCAACTCGCCAGCATAAAGAGACGGGAAGAGGTGACAAGGCGGAGGGGGAGTGAGACAGAGAGTGGGAGGAACGTAGATGACGAGCAATGACGATGCCAACAATGTCCCCCCTCCTCACCCCTTACAAGATGGGCAAGTTTCATCTTTCCCACAGGTAACCACTAACCAACCTGCCGGAGGCTTACCAAATCTCCTAATCGCTCAATCAGCAAGTGGCGTTTTGATTATCGCCCCCAAGAAGTTATTCGTAGGTGCAAGTTGCGCAACTGGCATGCCATTTAATTTGGGCATCGAAGTGCCCAAATAAGGTGGACCTGTTCTTTTCCAAACAAGAAATTAAAGATGACAAACATGGCCATGGCCATGGCCTGCAGAAGCTCTCGTTTATGATCTTTTTTGCTTTGGGGTGGAGGTCCCGCTTTATCTGTTTTTATTTATGCAGATGCTGTCTGCTGTTCATAGGAAGACTAGGTTCCCCAATTCTCTCTCCTTCTTTCTTTTTTGCCCTTCGGCTTTAAGATGAGGTTGCAGTCCTTTCCTAGATTCTCATGCAAAATTTTCTAAGTGAGTATCACACAATGTATATGCCAGCAATTTGAAGATCCGGAACTTAACTTTTTTTTTTAGGATGGTTCTTGCACCACTAACGAGACAGCGTTCATATGGTAATGTTCCTCAGCCTCATGCCATACTGTATTATCAACAGAGAACAACTGAAGGAGGCCTTCTGATTTCCGAGGCCACTGGAGTGTCCGACACAGCTCAAGGGTGTGTCTTCTAGATCCTCAGACTCTGCCTTCTTCTTAACAGATGCAGTCATTATCGTTTCTTTCTCATAGTTCAGTGATTTATAAAGAAGGACGATGTTTTCTTTTTATGCTAACAAGGTACAAGGATACTCCTGGCATCTGGACAAAGGAGCAAGTGGAAGCGTGGAAGCCAATGGTAGATGGGGTTCATGCCAAAGGAGGAACATTTTTGTGTCAGATTTGGCACGTAGGGAGAGTCTCCAATTCCAGTACGTTTACACCCTCTAATTACAAACTTGCTCCCAAAGCTCAGTTTCATGGCAGCTAGTGTAGCTAACTCGCAAGAAAATTAGGTTTAGAGTTCTTCATGAAGAGACTTCTTGATACTTTTCTTTTGGTGAACGAAGATATATATAATGGCACACTCATGCTGCATTCTGTACTGCGGTTTTATAAGGGCATTGTACCAACAAATGTTAAATGCTCTAATGCAGCTTTTCAGCCTAATGGGCAGGCTCCAATTTCATGCACTGATAAGCCAGTAAAATCTCAACATGTGGATAAGTTCACTCCTCCTAGAAGATTAGAGACTGATGAAATCCCTTTTATCATCAACGATTTCAGGGTAGCCGCTAGAAAAGCAATTAAAGCTGGTAAGCCCCTTCCCCTCACATTTTAGTATTTTACATTCTAAAGTAAATAACATTAGTCTACAAAGAATGAACAAATGTTTCTTGACTTTAGTCAGACTTATTTTTCTATCGAATTAAGATCCATTGAAAACTATACAGCATACTAATGTCCTTGCGGTATATTGTTTAACTACGTGGTAGTTTGCTGCAATCCTAGTTTGGCTCCATAATAAAAAGGCAATCAAACTTAAGTCTCCCTGTCTTGTGTAGGATTTGATGGTGTTGAAATTCATGGAGCTCACGGTTACTTGATTGATCAATTTTTAAAGGACCATGTCAATGAGCGCACAGACATATATGGTGGCAGCTTAGAGAACCGTTGCCGGTTTGCAGTAGAAATAGTTCAAGCGGTAGTTGATGAGATTGGAGCTGACAAGGTTGGGATAAGGCTTTCACCTTTTGCCAATTATTCGGGACCAGTAGACTCAAACCCAGAAGCTCTAGGCCTGTATATGGCAAATGCGCTGAACAATTTTGGAGTTCTCTATTGTCATGTGGTGGTGCCACGGACGGTGAGAAATGGTGAAAATTCTGAAACTCCCAGCTGTATTGGGTTAATGAGGAGTGCTTTTAAGGGAACAGTTATTGTTGCTGGCGGCTACAGTAGGGAGGATGGAAATCATGCGATCTCCAGTGGCTATGCTGATTTGGTTGCATATGGGCACTTATTCCTGTCCAATCCTGACTTGCCTCGGAGGTTTGAGATTGATGCTACTCTCAACAAGTACAAGAGTGAGACCTTTTACTCCTGATACTAGTAGAGAACAGATATTTGATCCAAGAGCCAAACCAGGCTCTAGTCCCAGAAAATATTGCGCCTAAGACTAGAGAGACCTTTAGTCTTGGTTGGTGACTCCAACCGGGACTAAAGGTCCCTGTCCAACGGCTCCTGCGCCAGGCCGTTGTGGCAGGGGACATTTAGTCCCGGTTGGAGCCACCAACCGGAACTAAAGGTCGACCTTTACTCCCGGTTGGTGGCTCCAACCGGGAGTAAAGCTCTTGTCCCGGCTAGTGGCGTGGCCCGGGACTGGAAAGTGACCTTTAGTCCCGGTTGGATCCACCAACTAGGACTAAAGGTCCCCCCTATAAATCTTGCTGGCCGTCTTCTTCCTCCCCGAGCCCGCTCGAGAGCTTTAGTTCAAATTTAAGCAGTGTTCTTGCTCTTTCTCCATCCATTCTTCGATTCCTCCGTCGATTTCTTCGATTCCTCCGTCGATTCTTCGGTTATAAAGGTTACCAACTTCATACTCTCATGTTTCACCATTGTCTTATCTCATTTTGTTCACTATATATATATGGTTCTTTATTGTGGTTTTTTTCATTTGTAAGCAATTTGAGCTCAAAATTACTTTAAGCTTGCATATTTACATGAAGGAAGGTTAAAGTAGCTATTAAAAACTAGTATTCACCGTTCATTTGTAGCATGTATAGCATACTTCATTGTTTAGAGATATAGAGAATTTTAGAGTTTTTTTTAATTTTATTTGTTTATAAAATGAGAAATTTATAGTGTATTAAAAATGAGTATAGAGAGTAGATGGCAACTGCTTCCGAGTCCTCGGACTCATGGGTTTTCAAAGCGACTTAGGCCGGGCCTCCCACTCATTGCATGCGGCAAGTGTTGTGATGAGACGAAGATTGTGATGGAGTATCGAGTGAAGAAGGAGGGTCCCAACAAGGGTCGCATTTTCTACAAGTATCCGGATCGCAATATGAGTTATTTTATCGTATTTAATGACTATGGTTAGTTTATACTTATTTTCATGATGGTTGTGATTAAAGTTCTAATTTTCTATTTTAATTTCAGTGGGATGACACTGGATGTTCAGGTTTCCACTGGGAGGAAGAGCATGTTGAACTCGTGAAAAAATATCTTGCACAACAGGTAGATATGGTGGCTAATGAGGCAGTGATCCAGCCGAAGAAACCCAAAGATGTTGAACAAACGGGGGATCTGTCTGTTTTAGTTGGGATTGATCGCGAAATCCTTGTGCTGCTGAAGTGCATTTTAGCTTTAGTGTTTTTAGTGGTAGTTGGAATTGTCTACATTGTAGCGAGACTTTCTTAAATTTATAGCCTTTGTGGTGGTATGCATGTTGTATAATTAACTAATTATGTTCTAGATTTTAATACGGTATTTATGTCATGTAATGCAGATGAGTCGACATTGATGTACAATGCTGATCGTCGCTCCCAAGAGTTCATGGACGGCGTGCATTCTTAGTTACGTGCAGCCGAGGCAAACAAACGCGATGGTTTCATGTGCTGCCCATGTGCCATATGTAAGAATACGATGGAATATGCTAACTCAAAGACTCTTCATTCATATTTTTTCAAGTCGGGTTTCATGCCAAACTATATTTGTTGGACGAAGCACGGAGAAACTGGAGTTGTAATGGAAGAAGGTGAAGAAGAACAATGGGGTGATGATGATATTTTTGCTGAATATGGTGCCTTCAATGATACTGCAATGGGGGAAGCTGAAGAAGAGGTGGGGGCAAAAAAGCCCGCTGAAGAAGAGGTGGGGGCAGAGGAGAAGCCCGCTGAAGAAGAGGTAGGGGCAGAGGAGGAGCCCGCTGACGATCTTGGTCAGGCCATTCGTGACGCACAATGAGAATGCGAAAGTGAAAAGGAGAAGATCAAGTTCGACCGCATGCTAAAGGATCACAAGAAATTGCTATACCCAACATGTGATGCGGGGCAGAAAAAGTTAGGTACCACATTGGAATTGCTGCAATGGAAGGCAAAGAATGGTGTATCTGACAAGGGATTCGCGGAGTTACTAAAAATCCAAAAGAAGATGCTTCCGAAGGATAACGAATTGCCCAGCACTACGTACGAAGCAAAACAGGTAGTCTGCCCTTTAGGATTAGAAATCCAGAAGATACATGCATATCCTAATGACTGCATCCTCTACCGTGGCACGGAGTACGAGAAGTTGGATGCATGCCCTGTATGTCAAGCGTCGCGGTATAAGATCAGGCGAGATGACCCTTGTGATGTTGAGGGCGAACATCCCAAGAAGAAAATCCCTGCCAAGGTTATGTGGTATGCTCCTATAATACCACGCTTGAAACATCTTTTTAGAAACAGAGACCATGCAAAGTTGTTGCGATGGCACAAAGAAGACCGTAAGGTAGACAATATGTTGAGACACCCTGCTGATGGGTCCCAGTGGAGAGCAATCGATAGAGAATTCCTCGAGTTTGCAAGTGACGCAAGAAACTTAAGGTTTGCTTTAAGTACAGATGGTATGAATCCTTTCGGGGTGCAGAGCAGTAGTCACAACACTTGGCCTGTTACTCTATGTATCTACAACCTTCCTCCCTGGTTATGCATGAAGCGTAAGTTTATTATGATGCCGGTGCTCATCCAAGGCCCAAAGCAACCTGGCAACGACATCGATGTGTACCTGAGGCCACTAGTTGAAGAACTTCTACTTTTGTGGAACAAGCCAGGTGTACGCGTGTGGGATGAGCACAAGCAGGAGCACTTTGACCTGCGAGCATTGTTGTTCGTAACAATCAATGATTGGCTAGCTCTAAGTAATCTTTCAGGACAATCAAACAAGGGATATAATGCATGTACGCCTTTGTTTTGGTGACATGAAAGGTATATTCTTGAAAAAAAGTGTCGCAAGGTCGTGTACCTTGGGCATCGACGATTTCTTCCTGCAAATCACCCCGTAAGAAAGAAAGGCAAGCATTTTAAAGGTAAGGCAGACCACCAGACCAAGCCTCGCAACCGAACTGGTGAGGACGTCCTCGATATGGTCAATGATGTGAAAGTAATATTTGAAAATGGACCTGGCAGCCAACCTATTTCGAAGGACGCCAACGGTCACGCACCCATGTGGAAGAAGAAGTCCATATTTTGGGAGCTACCCTATTGGCAAGTCCTAGAGGTCCGCAGCGCGATCGATGTGATGCACCTGACGAAGAATCTTTGTGTGAACCTGCTAGGCTTCATGGGCATGTATGGGAAGCCTAAGGACACAATTGAAGCATGACAGGACCTATGGTGTTTGAAAGAACGAGACAACCTACATCCAGAGAAGACAGATGATGGACGCTAGTACTTAAGTCCTGCTAGCTACACTCTTAGCAAAGAAGAGAAGGACATCTTGTTTGAATGCCTAGATAGCATTAAGGTACCGTCTGGATTCTCCTCGAATATAAAGGGTATAATAAATGTGCCAGAGAAGAAATTTGGACACTTAAAGTCCCATGACTGCCACGTGCTCATGACTCAATTGCTTCCAGTTGCATTAAGAGGAATTCTACCGCCAAATGTACGTCTAGCCACCGTGAAGCTATGTGCATTCCTCAATGCAATTTCTCAGAAGGCAATCGATCCAATGGATCTAGCAAAACTACAGAATGATGTGGTTCAATGTCTTGTCAGCTTTGAGTTGGTGTTCCCTCCTTCCTTCTTTGATATCATGACACACCTCCTAGTTCATCTGGTCAAGGAGATTACTATTCTCGGTCCTATGTTCCTACACAACATGTTTCCCTTTGAGAGGTTTATGGGAATCCTGAAGAAATATGTTCACACCATGCTTGGCCAGAAGGAAGCATCACCAAGGGCTACGGAATAGAGGAGGTCATTGAGTTCTGTGTTGACTTCATTCCCGATATTAACCCGATTGATGTTCCTGAATCGTGACATGAGGGGAGACTAAGTGGAAAGGGGACACTAGGGAAGAAAACATATATTGGTAAGGGTGATGATTATTTCAATAAAGCACACTACACAGTTCTACAGAACTCCTCCTTGGTAGATCCGTATATCGAGACACACATTAACCTCCTCCGATCTGAGTTCTCAGGGAAGTCTAAAGCATGGATTATGCGTCAGCACATGGAAACTTTTAGTGACTGGTTGCGAAAAGAATGTCAGGGTGATGAGAGTATTGATGAGGAGCTATATTTGTTGGCTAGGCAGCCATCGTGGCATATCATCACATACAAAGGATACGAGATAAATGGGAATATATTTTACACAGTAGCACAAGATAAAAGGAGCACCAACCAGAACAGTGGTGTCCGCATAGATGCCACCGACCCTAGTGGGAAAGCAAACATACTATGGCCGTATAGAGGAGATATGGGAACTAGACTGCATCTCATTTTAAGGTACATTTGTTCAAGTGCCAGTGGGTAAAGACGACTGGATGCGGCGTAGCAGTCGACAACCAGTATGGAATGACAACAGTGGACCTCAACAATATTGGGTACAACGGCGAACCATTTGTCCTTGCGAAGGATGTGACTCAGGTGTTCTATGTCAAGGACATGTCTACAAAACCGAAGAGAGGGAAAAACGACAACCACCCAATCAATGATGAGCCAAAGCGCCACATAGTTCTTTTAGGAAAAAGAAACATCGTCGGAATCGAAGACAAGTCAGACATGTCAGAAGATTATGAAAAGGATGACCGAATTTCACCCTTCACAGTGAACAAAGACCCTAACATCCAGCTAAACGATGAGGACACTCCATGGTTACGGTGCGATCATAACCAAGGGACATACGTCAAGAAGAAGTTCACTACAGTGCCCGCTTGATATATATATTGATGTTCAATAGTGTGTATTAGAGATATTATGTAATAATTGTGAATTTATGTTTGATGTTGGGATTATGTCATGTTGAAATGATGTGAAAACTAATTTATGTTTGATGTTGGGATTATGTCATGTTGAAATAATGTGAAAACAAATTTATGTTTGATGGTGAGATTATGTCA